TGGGGCCTGGTCCCCAGCCTCCTATCGGCTCCTTCGCTTGAGTCTTTCCAGAAGCGAGATTTCTCAGGATCAGTCAGACACCCCCTTTAGGATGCAAGCTCCTGCCTTCGCTGGCCATCTGAGGCCACTTCCTGCACAGGAAGTGATATCATGGCACGGGCAGGTCTGCAGAGGGTATGGGAAAAGGGCCGAGCAAGGGGCCTCCTTTGTTAGGGAGAGCTCAGCCTCCCCTAAGTCCGCCAGCCCCCATTTGTCATCAGTAAAGGCCATTGTAACCGTCTCTGAGGGGGGCCCCCAGCCTGAACCCCATAGCCGCCAGGAGCCAGGGCCAGATGGAAGAAGGGCTTTGTGTCCAGGGAGGGGTCCTTCCATGTGGGGTTTGTGTGTTTTTAAAACATAATAATAAATGGGCTCCTCTTCCCCCCTCTCCTCACTCCCCACTGAGCACATCAGCCTCCAAGTGAATGGGAGAGATTTTCCATGCGGTGGGAGGTCAGGGCTGGCGAGAATTAGCCAGTGTCCAGGGGCTAGAGAGAGACTGTGATTGCTGATGATAAATGGGCCCAGCGTGGGGCGTCTCTCTCCCTCACCTCCCGCCTGCCCCCCTTCTCCCCTCCCAGTCCTGTCCCTCCGTGTGGGCACCGCCTCATGCCAGCCAGCCCTGAGGCACAAGGCCTGCTGGGCTGCAGATGCTGAGCCTGGGGACCCAGGCCTGGTCTTGTCACCCACCTGTGACAAAAGCCAGTGGGAGGGGTGTCAAGGCCCTCCCTGCCAAACCCCTGCAGCCTCGTGCTGAGGCCTCTGCCTGGGCAGCAGGGCCAGCCATGGGCGGACAGACTGAGATGGATGGGAGTGAGTTTTGAGTTTTCGTCCCAGGCCTGGGAAGACAGAGCCCAAGCCTTTCTCCGCGGCCCTGCTGTGGCCGTGCTGTCTCCACACCCAGCCCCGAACCAGAAACTGGGCAGTGGTCCAGCTTGGCTGTGAAGTTGCTGTGTAGTGTTGCATTAGTCACTTCCCCTCTCTGAGCTGGTAGAGTGGAGGGCCCCACTTTGGGCACCTACTTGCTATGCTTCTAGCCTGCTGGGTCTCAGGTGTCTATAGGCCGAGGAACCTGCCAATCTGGGCTTTCAGGGTTTCCCTGCACAGAGGTGTCCTGCCTGGCCCCTCCCCCTGCTGCCCGGCACCACCCAGTCAGCGGAGCACATTTACATGTGTTTTTTCATAACAGCACCTCGGAGGTGACAGGGCAGCGCCTTTTTCGTGGATGGGGAAACCAAGGCCCTGAGGAGTAAGCGGCCGCCCCAGGCCCCGGGCAGAGTGAGGAGCTGACGCAGTCTGCTGGCTCCCTGGCGTCCCCCAGCAGCGGGACAGTCTCCGGTCAGGAATGTCCAGACACTAGTTTTAGCCTCTCCCTCCTTTCGAGAACCTCTGGGAAATACATTCTTTTTACCTTTGTCCTGAAGCCAATTCTCCACCTCCAAGGCCCGGGGCTCCTGCTTTTTCTGTGGCTTAGATTCTGGTGCCTCATAAACAAGCCTGTGGCCTCAACTTCCTCCCCATCCGGACCTCCCACCTGCCAGGTGGCAGCCTGCGTCTCCACATTGGGCACTGCCAAGGCCCAGCCCCTGGGAAGGAGCGTGCGGCCGGGCACGAGTCCTGCCATCGGGTGGAGACTGGGCTCAGGCTCCCCGCTCTGTCCTGCAAGCTCCACTCTCCTCCCAGGGGACAGGTGCCCTCCTGGACCCCACGGGGAACACTGAGAAGGGTGTGGTGTGCTCCCTGCCCTCCAGGAGCAGCTGCCAGACCCCGGAGCAGGGAGGTGCCCGCCAGACCCCACCCTCTCCCCCCCTCCCCTCCCCAAGCTTAAAAGTGGGTTGTGAGCAAACTGAACTCATCCATGAGGAAGCCAGGTTGGTGGTGAGAGGATGCAAAAGTGTGTCTCGTGAATATTCAAAAGGAAGACGAGAAGGCCAGGGAGGGCAGGCCTCAGCCTCCAGACACAGGGCAGCTGTCAGGGGGGGAGGAAGCACACTGTTCGGTGTCACCTCGGAGGTGAATATCGTCGCAGTGGCTGCAGCCTCAGACAGCAAATTCCAGCTGAAAGTAGGGAGGACTTTTCTGGTAGGTCTGTCCAGAGGCGCACCCACTGAGAAAGGCAGCGGGGAGCTCCCATCCCAGAGGTAGGAGTCAAGGTTGGGTAAGGAGTTGATGGGGGATGCTGCACCAGTTGGTCCTTGAATAACCTCTGTCGCTGTGAATCTGTGCCACCAAGGGATGAGCTGACAAGAGACCTCATACAGGCAGGTACAGGTGAGTTAGAAGCGAGGGTTTGCCTGGTGCCTGCAGGAGGTCCCACCCAGGCTCTGATCTGAGGCCTGGGGTGGGTGGGCTGGGGCACAGAGAGCCCAACAGCACCTAGTTCCTCCTCCTCCCTCGCCAGGCTCTGCCCACGCTGTGTCTTAGGACCACAGGAGATGCTGGGTGTGTGAGCCACGAATAAAAATGGCAAGAAAGGTGATCTCATTTTAAGCAAATTGACTTCCTGAAGAAAACATTTACACACGGGACCTTGTCATACATGAACAGATTCCCCATAAGGAATCTTCAGATCTCCACGTGTTAGAAGTAGAGCAGGGCTTGAGAGATTGGCTCAACCAACTTCCGGATTTTACAGCCGGGGTCTCCGAGGCCTGAGAGGAAGGCCGCACAGCAAAGCCGGGGCGCAAGCCCAGGGCCCCTGACTTCAGCGGCGGCTCTTGTCCTGTGTGTTAACTGTCCGCGGTGACGTCTGTGCAGGGACGCGTCCGCTCCTTGGGAGAGTGGGGCCATTCGTGTCTGCGGCTCTAAAGGCAGTTTGCAGTTTTGCAACCATCGGTTCAAACGAGTTCTGCTATTTGAGAAACACACTTTATGCGGACGTTTTCCTGCCAGCAGGAAGTTCGGGTCTGGCCTGGCAAAGGCCAGGTCTCCTCCAGGGGAGTCTTCTCAGGTGTCCAGTGGGGAGCGCTGGAGTGAGGCCAGGGACAGGGGTGACTGGGAGCCTGGCTTCCTCCCACGGACAGGTGACCTCAGGCAAATCCCTCGATGCTCCATGTCCTCCGGGGAACGGGAAGGTAATCCCCACCTTGATGGTTGCGAGGAGTAAATTAGCTGAAATATTCATGGCACCTGGCACAGCGTGGACGTGAATGCTGGTTCCCAGGCCCAGCGTTAGATTCGAGCATCAGCCTGCCTGAGTTCGCGCTCCACTCGGCTGCTCGCTACCTCAGCCTCCTGTGCCGGTTACAGACCCCCTGGCTCAGCCTTCTCATCCGCAGTATGAGGATAACAGTGGTACCGAGCATATAGGGTTGTGGTTCCAACTGTGCGCCCAGGCACCCCAGGGTGCCGCAGCCGATTCACAGGGGTGCTGTGAGATATTTTTAATCTTCAAGGAAACGCAGTAGTACTGGACGGCTGCCAGCCACTGCGACAGCTACTAGCTCAAGACAGCTTCTAGCTTCAGCATTACATCACACTTCTTTCCTTTGGATGGCATCATGGCTCTGAAAAGCTGGGGTGTGGGCATTCGGGAGTGCCCTGCGACCAACAGTGAGGGGGGCAGTGTCCGCTCTGATCCCAAGACTTGAGGACTTATGTGGTGCCTCATGAGTCAGTCACTGTGGCTTGTTTAGGAATGGACTGCAAGTAATCTTTTACTTTCAAATTATGTGTATTATTTTCTCAAATGGCTACTAAGGTGTTAGGGTGTGCGTGCAGGCTTGCACACACGCACGCACGCACAGATGCTGTTTAGATCTAACAAGCAGAACCCCTAGGGATTTCTCTCGGCCTTGCAGTAAAAATTTCCCAGAAAAATTACTGGGTAAAAATGACCAAGGCGCCAAAGACCAGAAAGGCTTGGGACACCCTGACTAGGGTGGTGTGGGCTCTGTGAGTTCATACGAAACACTTCCTGACAGCATCTGGCAGAGAGAGCACCCAGGAACCCGAGACGCCGCTTTTCTGGCGCCCACGGGCGGGCTCAGGTGGCCCTCGTCTGGGACACCTGTGGAGCCTCCCTTCGCCTCGAGGCCCGAGCCAGGGCCAAGGAGGCGGGGAAGTGTCCCGTGGTGAGGGCAGGGCCCAGCTCAGCTGCTACCGCCCGGGCGCAGCCCCAGCCCCCCTGTATTTAATTTGCATTCGCTGAGCACATGCTGCAGGCCAGCCTGCCTGTAGTCTGCCAGGGGTCCCTCTGGGGAGGAATCTGAGGTCGGTCCTTGGTTCATCTTCCTTGTCTCTTGGCAGCATTTCCCTCCCGGAGCCTGGGGGGTGGGGTTGTTGGCAAGGGGGCAGTAGCTACACCGAGAGCCACCGGCACTGCCATGACAGAGAGGCGCTGAGGAAGACGCCCAGCCATATTCCTGCCAAGGCCAGGGATGAACCTT